ATTACAGACCAGAGAAAACTAAAGAGAATGCAACTTTGTGTTAATACATTTGAGGAGCCGGCAGTTTATCTTGAGGAAATAAATGACGATGCAAAAGTTAATTAGATTGTAACATGCGCAGTCCGCTGCTCAACCACTGCGGAGGCAGTTATGTTACGCCACTGCGAAGAATTAAAAACCGCTGGGAGTAACTCATCCAGCGGATTTAACAAATGGAGCCTTCTGGGTTCACGTTACCCAGGAGAGCGGCGCTCTGGAGGAGCTGCAGACGTGACATCTGTCCGTTTCGGAGAAGCGAAAAAAAAAATAAAAAATCCTTAAAGCGCACACCGGACCCCGCAGGGTAAAACACTCAGAGTTCAGTTGATATGTTTGGATCAGACAGATCCGACTGACTGATGAATTAGCGCAGATTTTTCTGCAGACGGGAACCAGGAGGAAGTGCGTTCAAACCCCAGCGGGTGAAGTGATGCTAATTTAAGTGATGTTGCTTTATTTAATTTATTAAAAGTTATTGGGGCCTCAGTCAGTGGTTTTTGTCACTACGGGGAAAAATGTAGATGTATTTATCTGCTTAATTTGTGATGGGATCTGGATTCACGGTGAATATTAACTAAACCGCATAAAATGCGGCTAAATAGCCGATGTTAATATGATTGTAATTTCACGGATAAAAATAGTACATGACCGAGTTTTTTTATGTTGTCGGTCAAGATAACGGATAACAAAAAAGTCTAGCGCCACCTGCCGCCCTGACACCAACTTACACACATCTTCATTCAGTCTTACTTGTAAATCGATGTTTCTTTTCTTGGACGTTTTGATGTTAGCTTGTCGATGTCTCAGTTTTATTCGCTGGTAAAATCAATAAGCAGCTTGAGGTGACTCTGCTGCTCTCTAGTGGCGAGAAGCCGTAATGTTGGCTGGCAACAATCGGAATGCATTATGGGAGATGTAGTTTGTAATCAATTCGTGCTCAAAACCAATTTTAAGTCAATCATCAGCCTATAAAACGCTGGGGGGGGGCACATAAAATGGCATGGCGGGCCCCACTTGGGGCCCCGGCCCTGGGGTTGGTNGATGGGGGGGGGGCCCACGTGGGCCCCGCGGGCCTTGAGTTTGACACATGTGTAGTAGAGGATGCGTACAAAATCTTGTTGGTGATTAAATACTTTTTGTCAGCGAGAGTGTTTACACAAACTTTACTTTAATAATCACAACAGAATAATTTCAGTAGCATAAAGCAGTCAAAGTCATTTTTATTTGAGCCATATCAAGATCATGAATGTCTGTGGAAATGTATTAATAAAACTACCTACTAGCAAACTGTTAAAATATTAAAGCTTTCTCTGTATTTGATGTAGTTTGACACATGCAAATATAAATTGATTTGGTTTGACTGATAAAATAATATTTAAGCACACAACTGTCATTTTGAAGTTCTATTTCTGAAGCCCTTGAGAGTCTAGAGGGCCACAAGAACAGCTATTATAGGTCGGATTGGTCTGCGGGCCTCGAGTTTGTCACGATGTTGTACATGGATGCCGTGATGTTCTGAAAAGCTCAAAACCAGATAAACCAGATCCATAAAAGGTTTCCACTAATCTTGCTCTCATTGAGCCTCTATTTAAGGTTTAGTTTAATGCAAAAATGTTAAAGGTTTATAATAGCCGTTTTTAATTAATACACGGTAAAATAATCATGTTTTTAATCATTGCTGGAATATCTGCAGCAAAGGGTTAACTTGACCTGTATGTGCACTCTAATAGTGGTTTAGATGATGAAACTTTGCAGCAAAGAAATATGTAGATGGTGGAGGAACTATAAAACCCTCGTAACTTCACCACATAAACGGCCAGAGTAAATGTTCTGTCTTCAACAACAAACCTTGAGGTTGCAGCACAGTGGAGCAAAGCTGGTTATTATAACGTGTTCTGGGAACTGATCGCGAAGCTGCAGCCCAGTTGTTGAGGAAAGCTGTTTGGTTGAACTACATATTTGAGCTGAGTAAGATTTTACCCTGAGAGGAAATAAAACAAAACTCCAACCTTGGGGTGAAACTCTCACGAAGCGTCTCCTTTGAAACTGATACCATGAGGTGAAACCAAACAGCAGCAGAATAAAACGATGTTTTGCCTGTACAGTGAAAACAGATTTTTAAAGGGAACAGAGTTGAAAGGCTATTTATAAGCTCCTTTGCAAAGGAAGTGAGCATTCCCCAGAGGATAAATGCAGCTTTGGAAAAATGATACAGCCTGGAGCCAGAAGAGGAAGTACGGAGAGAGGAGTCCAAGACCTGAACATGGAAAATCATGACTGCTTGTGTGATTGTTAGAGGGCAAGTCTCTGAGAACGATGCAGAGCTAAGTTCGACTGTGGGGAGAGAAACTGAGAGAAACGACTCCTTAAAACAAAAACACCAATAAGAAATTTGATTTATTTTACATCCAATTCCTTTTGAAGCACAGTAAATAACTGCAGCATAAATCACATTTACCCACCAGTAGCTCCACCGTTTTCATGCCGAGTTTCAAACCCAGTGAGTAAGAAATATACATCAACATGCTTGGCATTTATTTAGGAAGAATTGTAATAGTGATAGTTGTAATAAAAGAGAAAGAAACTGTTAGTGATTTTGATAGCAAAAGCAGAAAAAAGGCAAATACTACTGCTACATTCTCCTACCACAAAGTGGGGATTAGTCCCATGTACATCTATTTTTTTGACTCTGGGCATTTGAAAAGAATCTGGACATCATTGTTTATTAGCTCAAAAGAACAACGATGACACAGTTATTCGTGACTGTATTAACCAGAAAAATAATTACATTATGCTCTGATTTAATTCTGTAGTGTCCTTAGAAATTAAATGTCATGTTTTCATCAGCTGCAGAAATACAGAGATAAAAGTTTGATAAAGATAAAGATATTGAGTTACTTTACTGTAATAAATTAACTTTTCAATAATATTCTGTTATATTGAGATGCATCTGTAAGCTCAGAAAATCTTAACAAGCAAACAGTTTGTCAGTTTTTATTCTTGGTCTGTTAGCTGTTAACTGCTAGTGTTAGCAACCAAGACCACGTAAACTGGATTTATAACTAAAAATCTGCACCAATCTGAATTAGTTAAAACATTACTTTGCCAAATCTCATTTGGCAAATATAAATAAGACCAGATGTGGGGATTCCTCAGGGCAATATTCTCGGACCACTTATTTCGTAATCTTCTGTTCACCTTGCTTTCTCAAACTGTTCATACTGATGAATTTTTGACTTAATCTTCAGGAAAAACGACATTAGTTGTCATCACCTTTATTTAAAAAGAAATGCTAAAAGCATCTATATAACACTAAACTGCTATTTAGTGAACACAAAGATTTTGCACTTAGTTGACTCAAATAGATAACTTTTTGTTTTGGTAGGCCAAGTTTCCTTTCCTCTAAATATTTTTGCTTCCAATATAGGCTTTTTTTCCCCAACCCTGGGGGTACAACAAATGGGGCTTTTTTTTTTTTTTTTTTAAAACCTTTCTCTTCTGTCTTTATTTGGCCCAAAATGTATGAAAACTGATAGTCTGACAGCGTTTTAGAAGTTTCCTGCATCTATAAGGAATACGGTGGGGATTTTTAGATGCGAGTAAATAGATCTTGAAATAGATTGTTCTTTTGTTTTTTACCTTTTAAAGTCTGAATTAAAGCCATTAACTGATGTTTCACTTATCAGGACTATTTAAAACTCTGTATTTTTGCTATTATTAATGAATAAACATGTTTGAAAAGTACAGTCTCTAATATCTTTTCAACTTACCACTCGAGGTTCTGTAGGACAGCAGGAGATCCGACAGCAGTCCCTTCTGGACGGTGGCGTTCCCGCTCAGAGTCTCCCTGTCCAGAATGAGCAGGAAGCGGTGAAGCTCCATCAGGAGCTGGTCCAGCACTGAAAAGCCCAGACAGACAGCAGGAATTCAGATTGACAGCAAAACAAAAACGCCTTTAAACCTTACTGCACATCGACTGGCATGGGAATGTTTGGTCTTGCATCAGTGATTTAAGGACACGTCCATCACAGTTTCCCCATTACATAAGAAAAAGAAACGCAATGAGGAAACGCATACATTTTCTGACAATCATTTAAAGAATATTTCACTTAAAAAACAGATAATTTTTGTTGCTTATGTTTCGTGCCAGAGTTTTACATGGGAGAAACTCTTCTGAGGTTTTCTTCTGGCAGCCATTGATCGTTTCTCTCCATCGACAGTGAAAGTCTGTTTCGTGCTTGTTTAGGGGACTCCAGTAAAAGGTCAAGTTCAGAGAGGGGGAGGAGCCTACGCCTGCCTGGGTGAAGCCCACACACATCCTTTAGGGGTCAGCGCTGAGCTCGCTGCCCTCACCAGCTGTGTGTAGGGAGTTCTTTGTATTTCCCCTCACTGTCTCTTGGCTTCATGAATAAGCCCCCTCGCTTCAGTGGGCCTCAGTGCGAGAGGACTTCCTCAGCAAGACAAGAGATGCAACAGAGGAGAAGTTTTACTGAAGGAAAAGGACTTTTAGGTATTTGTAAGAAGGAATGCAGTGATTTAATATTCAAAATGTTAAGTTAACCCCTGCAAAGATGCTGGATTTTTGGAATGGAGTAAAATACACCAAAAATAAGGATTAGTGAAATATATCCTGCACACTTTAGCTGAGAAAAACAAATAGAAATCTCTTTGGGCGAAACCAGGTTGCCTAAACTAATCTCTAGCACATTAACATCCCACACATGGATATTGCCCTGTTTACTTTGAAACCCTCTTTCCAAATACATCAGATTGTGAAGACATATCTTGTCCACAATCCTCTTCAGATGACCACTCACATTCTCCAGGTGCAATGCCACTTGACATATTATTGGGCAACATAGCCAATCCAGGAGCGCCACTTATTTGTCTTGGCACTGATTGGGTTTACCGCTAAGAGAACTGGACCACCATTATTATGACATTAGTTTCTGCAGCAGTGCCAAGATCATTTCCACTCTCCGTGTTAATGAATATTAAGCTATATTTGGAATTTGAACTAATAAAATAAGCAATTGTAGGCTTTTAGAGGGTTTCTCAAGTATTTATAAGCCCTACAAATACAAAGTATCCACTGTGGTCTTAAGGCTCCCACATACTCTGGAAGCCGTGCTGACTCTGCATATTCTCATGAAAATTTTGCACAAATTTCAGCTTTTAATAAAGGATGAAAATGAGCAAATGTCTGGAACAGAGAGAACAGATGAGCTTTATTTACGTTAAATTACATTCTCTAAAACTGAAGGCGTGAGTGAACTAAAGACGGCTTGATAAGTCAGCTAAAAGTGTGAGCTTTTTGTCAGCACTACAGTTTTATGAGGATGCAGTTTATATTTTGAAGCAAAAGATTTTGATCCAATTTTTTATAGTCTGAAGTTGCAGCACAAAAGTGTGATATTTCACTAGTAGAGATTCTACTAAATAACCTTACTCAACCAGAAATTGAAAATACAGCTCAACTTCTCCACTGCAAGAGTTTAACTTTTCACCTTATATGAAGCAAGAAACTTTTACAAGGACTGGAAGCTGTTCCTGCCTCTTTGAACTCTGTTAAAACAGTCAAATATCTCATTTTAGTGGCTTCTTCCGGCTCAGACTAATCACCAAGCCTAGAGGGGGTTGGGGATACGTTCATGAACTCTCCTCTCCTTCCTAAACAAGTACAAGAAGGAATATTTTGAAGAATAAGGCGTCAGATCTCAGCAAGATTTTGGCTCTTGGAGATGACAAGACAATTCTTGAAGCTACCAGAAACAAGGTTCAAGAAAGCATGGAAAACAATTTATTTATGCACACAAATGTTTTTAAAACAGATTACTGTGTTGGAAACACGATTATAAAAGTCTGTATGTGCGATTCTAACTCTTTTCCAGTTAGCGTTTGGCCACCGGACATGAATCTAAACATTTTTCCAGTCTCTCCTCCTTGTGTGTTTGCAGAGATTGACTCAGATGGCCTTTTGCATCCGAGGACCCTGGGAAACGGAGTCAGCTGACAGGACAGGGAGGTCTGCAGCCCGCCCGTCTTCTATGGGCCTTGGTTTGGCCAGATGCCCGACGCACATGCAGCGAGTGACCGCAGCCTCGCAGCACAAACGGTTCACCCCTGCAGGGAGGCCGGAGGGAACCAGAGAGACCTTTAGAGAGATGGAGGTCTCTCTGCAGAGAGGTTGAGCCGCTGCACCAAATGCATTGTGGGAATTAAATACCAAATTCGTGTTAACGATGAGTTAAATCACACGTTTATTTGTATCTTAGCGACTGAATTTCTCTTCCATGTTGCTGCGGTTGGACTTCCTGATTTGCTTTGTTCCGCGTGACCATGACTTGTTTACTTTTGTCACACATATTTCTACTGTGTTGGTGATGAGCTTGCAGATTTACAAAATCAATTCAATTTTGTCTAAATTCAGGATTTATTTTTAAACTATTCAGTATTCAATGGCTTCATTTTTAGGTAAGTTTAGCAAAACGTCAAATCAGAATCAGAGCTTTTAGAATTATTGAACACATTTAACCCCTGATTGTATATTAAATGTTTTGTGCTATATTAGCCAAGTCTATTTACTGAGACTCATTACTTCAATCACGCTGCAACCTTAAACGAAAAAGACAATCCTCTTTATCCTCATGCCAACAATAATTGATCACATCGTATTAATGTCATCATTGCAGTTAGATTTCCTTGCACCTAATCGCTTCTCAGCAACAACACTTGTTGTTTGCACGTCATTTGTGTTAAGCAATTAAAACATGTGGCTAATGAGGATGTGTGTTTAAAGCTGCACACAAAAATAGAAGTAAAACCAATTATCTATGTGAAAATGTTCTTCTCAAAGATGACCTTTAGTTCAAAAATAGCTCAGGAATTAGACTCGAGTTTTTCCCATCATTCCTTTAATTTAACCATCAGCTGAACAAGGATGTCTTGTAAGGACGTTAGCTGAGTTTCCAGTTCTGAGAGGCTTCAGGTTTTAAATCAAATGAAGCAGACAAGGCCTCTGATTTTGGAAAGGCAGCTTCCATACCAAATAGGATCACAGACATTCTTTTCAAAGCTTAAATAAACAAACTTATCTGGGGTAAATATATCCGTAATAGAGTCCTGTTAGACTGTCTCACAAATGCAGGAAGTGCCATAAAAAGATACAACGTAAGTGGATAGAACAACATTTCAGCAAAGAAACGGATAATAGAGACAGTAGAATTGATCTCAAATAATTTTTCATCATTTGGCTTTTCTTATTTTTGTAATTACCAACAGAAACTGGGATCATTTTGCAGTTTTTCTCTTATCCGTACATCATCTCTCACAATCTTCCCTCTTCTCAAGCCCACACTTCTCATTACCACACATTTCCCTGTGTTGGTACCAAGAAATGAATGGGAAGAGAGTCAAATAAAATAATGTAATTCCATAACAACGGCTTCAACTCGATGATGCAAGAGAAGCAGCTGAGATGTAAGATTTCCAGCCTGTAGCAGCTGGTTGAGGTCTGTTTGGGACACTTCCTCGACTCTGTGAATCACAGTCATATTTTGGGATGTGGTGCAGATGTTGGAAATAGTTGCAAATAAGCTTGTGTTCCTTTCTTTGCAGCTGAATGCTGAAGTCGACTTAAAAACACTTTCATGAAAGGTTCTGTTTGCACTTTCCATGCATTCTCTTTATCAGTGAACTCATTTTTGCAGCTACTCCCTACTTACCCCACAAAAAGTGACAGGGCAGTTTCTTTTCACAAATCCCATGACTCACAGTCACAGTAGGCTGTTCAAAAATGAAACATTCAACACGGTTTGTGGATAAACTAAAAGAAATCATACTATCGAGTCCAAAAAAACCTGCCTTTTCTTAATGTTAGCACCAGAAATTACTTTAAAACGGAAGCAGACTGACTTCAATGCAACTGCGAAACAATTTTCTTTTTCAGTTTCCATTCTTATAGAAGCCCTCTTCTGACCAACTACCCTTTTACCTGGGGTTTATTTTGCAAGCACCTCAGTCCTGCTGCTGTATGGCAAGCTGTTTATGTCCCTTTGATCCTGGTTTTAGTTCTAAGATAATAATTAATACAGAATTAATAAAATCTGCCAATCTAAACTTTGTGTTTTTCCACAAGAATAACAGCTAGGACCAGCTAAATTAATTTATGATGTCGTTAAAATAAGATGTGAAACCAACAGAGCCAAATGCATCAAATCACCTTCTAACTGCCGTCAACTGAGGTGTAACTTCATTTTAATGGGAAGTGGTAACAAGAAGGAGAATTGCAACCAACAGTGACCAAACTTCACATCAAAATGATTGGATGCTAGTGAAGTTTGGACTAACACGGACTGAAGAAGCTTCTGCTTCAGTACGCATGAGGAAAACAACAAAAACAGAGCAGTTTTACAGCACATATTTGCAGCTAAACAACTTTTTTTAATCTATACAACATAAATAAAAAAACATCGTCAACTTCAGAGTACTAGTAAAGTAGGAAATGGATGAATTTGAAGATGTTTGCAGTAATTTGTGTTTGTGAATGATTCAGGTGTTGAAAAGACACAAACTGCATTAAATATTCTGCATTTTGATCTCATTGCCATAGAAATCTGAACATGAAATAAATCTGGAATCAGATAGATGACAGGAAAAGGCTGTTGTCGGTACTGAAGGAACTGCATTAAAGACGTGGACATGCAAAGCAAAATATGGAGTAAAAAATAAGAGCTGCTACTGACATTACAGGTCAGTGTTTTGTTTCCAGACTAATATCAGACCAACTTGTTTTTTTTTGTAAAATTTTAGCATTGCAAAAAAAAAGAAGCCTCACTTATGAGAAGACAATATTTTTCTAGAACAAAGTCAAACACTTTACCATCACATAAAATGTTGT